GGTTTCAATGCCTTTGGTCCATTTCTTATCCCCCTCTTGTGACGAGTAACCTGCGATTCATTGGCAATAGCTTTGGAGTAACTCTTGTGACGAGTAACCTGCGTTAGCAATTTGAAAAGGTTATGTAATGGTACTTTCAGCGTGTTCAAAATTAATTGTCATGTTAAGGAAGTTGTTAGAGGATGAAGCTTCTTTTTAGGGACGACCATTAGTTCCATAGACCCATTGAAGAAAGTGATATCTTGGAATCTGTAAGCAATGTTCCCTTCAATCCTTTCCTGATTTGCAGACTGGGCCTTTATTGGCGCTATGGGATTGCCGAAGATGATGATGTCCAATGGAAATGGTTGTGCAATGGCGTGAGCAAAGTTATGGAACCCGGATGTGGGTCCTACGCTTTTTCCGTTGTCCCAGCAGCTCCTTGGTGTGGCTACCCTGAAAGCCATATCCCTACAGCTTGCGCTTCAAGTCCACACTCCTGGTTTTGAAGACCAGCCTTTAGAGAGTATGTAAATATCCAAAATGGACAGGCACACAGCCAAGAATATGAAGCCTAATGCTGTTTTCTTAACCACGATGAATTCAAAACCATATTGATGATTTGAGGCCCCAAAAAACAAAAGATAGAACGAGTATAATAACAAGAACACCATACCAGTAAAATCACACAAACGGGGTCGGGGGATGGGAGTATGCATACCTTACTGCAGAAATTTTCACACCTCTTTGGTCAACCTTGCCTAGCTAATCTCAGCCTTAGAATGCGCAGACTACGAACAAACAACAGAGGGTTAGATGATAAACACAGCAAAGATATGAAATTTAGTGTATCCATCAACCATGCACGAGAGATATCGGATTTGATGTATCCATCCATCATGCAAGGGAGATATCAAATGCGATGTATCCATCAATAATTGGGAAAAAAGTTTGAAATTTGGGAAAAAGTAACAAACCTAATTTTTTTCATAGCGTATCACTCAATCTAGTAAAACAAGAAAGTTCAACTCACTAATATGATGATAAAGTTCATGATTGGTTTAGTTTACGTCCAGCGGTCCTCTCCAGCAAGAGTACCTGCAATAGGGAAGCATTAATGGTGTTGTGGAGTATTTCGTGTTTTTTTGTGTTTCTTAAATTGTTTAAAATGGTGAATGTGCATTTTGTTACCGTTTATGTCAATGTGTTGTAGGATTTCGTTGTATACTATGTTTTTTGTTGTTGAAGTAAATCTGTCCCCCTCATACCATTTGATAGTATTTAGAACCACAACAAAAAACAAGACAGTAAAACGCAATTGCCTTAACTCAAAAAACGACCTAGAGTCTGACCTAAAAATTAAAATCCAACGGATTGTACCGCAAACCTAACGCAAATTTGATTGTCAAACACTAAAGTTAAAAGTCAACCCAAAACCAAACCCAAAATCAGGTAAAATCCCCAAAGTAAGAAACAAAATCCCTACCCAGAACCTAACCCAACAACCAGTTGCCGGGTTGCATTAAGTTAATCCCATGTTTAAAAATTGTGAATAAGTACAAAAGGAATGAATATGGCATTAAAAGGCTTTAAGAATGAAGACCAACCATTG